AAAAAACCCTTTCCCCCCAAAAAAATATTTAAAAAAAAGGGTTTTTTCCCCTTTTTTTTTAAAAATTTTTTAAAAAATTTTGGGGGAAAAAAAAAAATTTTTTTTTAAAAAAACCTTTTTTTTGGAAGAAAAATTTTTTTAAAAAAAAAATTTCCCGGGAAAAAAAAAACCCCCGGGGAAAATTTTAAAAAAAAGGGAAAAAAATTTTTTTAAATTTTAAAAAATTTGGGGGGGGAAAAAAAAACAAAACCCCAAAAAAAGGAAAAAATTTTTTTTTTTTTTTTGGGGGGAAAAAAAAGGGGGAAAAAGGGGGGTTTTTTTTTTTTCAAAATTTGGGGAAAAAAAAAAAAATTAAAAAAAAAAAAAGGGGGGAAAAAAAAATTTTTTTTATTTTTCCCCCCGGGGAAAATTTTGGGGAAAGGGCTTTTTTAAAAAAAATTTTTTTTTTTTAATTTTCCCCCCAGGAAAAAAGGGTTTTTTTTTAAAACCCAAAAGGTTTTTTTTTTTTTTCAAAATTTCAACTTTAAAAAATTTGGAAAAATTTTTTTTTAAAAAATTAAATTTGGGGGGTTTAAAAAAAGGAAAATTCCCCCCCCCAAAAAAACCCCCCCCGGGGAGGAAAAAATTTTAAGGGGGGAAAAAAAACCCCCAAAAAAAATTTTTTTTGGGGGGGGGGAAATTTGGGGGGTTTTTAAAAAAGGGGAAAAAAAAAAAAAAAAAGGGAAAAAAACCCCCGGGGAAAAAAAATTTTGGGGGGGGGGAAAAAAATTTTCCCCTTTTAAAAAAAAGGGGAAAAAAAAAAGGGGGGGGCCCCTTTTTAAAAAATTTTTTTTCCCCCGGGAAAAGGGGGGCCGGGTTTTTTTTTGGGGAAAATTTTTTGTGAAAAAAAAGGAAAAGGGCCCTTTTCGGGGGGGTTTTTTTTTAAAAAAATTTTAAAAAAATTTTTTTTTTAAAAAAAAACCCCCGAAAAAGGGGCCCCCTTTTTTTTGGGGAAATTTTCAAAACTAAAATTTTTTTTTTTTTTAAAACCCCTTAAAAAAAAATAATTTTTAAAAAAAAAAAAATTTTTTTTTTTTTTTAAAAAAAATTAAATTTTTGGGAAAAAATTTTTTTTTTTGGGGGTTTTTGGGGGAAAATTTTTTTTTTTAAACCCTTTTTTAAAAAAATTTTTTGGGGTTTTTTTCAAAAATTTTTTAAACCCAAAAAATGGGAATCCCCTTTTTTTGGGGAAAGAGGGGAAGGGGGGAAAAAAAGGGGGGGGGGGGGGGGGAGGGCCCCCCCCCCAAAAAAAACCCGGGAAAAAAAAAATTTTTTTTGGGTTTTTTTTTTAAAGGGGGGGAAAAAAAAAAAAAAAAATTTTTTTAAAAAAGGGGGAAAAAAAAAACCCGGGAAAAAACCCGGAAAAACCCCCAAAAACCCCCCCAAATTTTCGGGTTTTTCCCCGGGGAAAAAAAACCTGGGGAAAAAACCTAAAAAATTTTTCGTAACCTAGGTTTCCACTTATTACGTAATGTTTTCCCCCACCCGGAAACCCTACCTCCATAGCATATAAACAGCATGTTTATATGCTATGTAATGTGTTTCTTATATAATTTTGAAGAAAATATTGTAGATGGATTAATGAAAATGTCTGTATTGATGTAAAATTAGACATTTAATGTGCCAAGAGTGATTATTATTACATAATAGAGAGATGTGCTCTTGGAGAATGTAAACAAACCGGGTGGCGCTCACTGTATTTGAAAGACCACTTGCCATATAGAAAGTTTTGGTCATAATTTGAGATCGCCATATTAGCGGAACGCCGTAAGGCGAAACACTGAAAAGCAGGGCCCTACTGTATATTAATGTATTTGAAAGGATTCCTTGTTTCTCAGTGAATTTATTATCAAAGAAACTTCAGAAGCATTAGCTGGGGACAGATACAGAGAGCTTGGAAATGAAATGCATTGCATAACTATGGGTTTTTCCATGTAAAATAAAAAAAATATAGTGTAAAACCTATGCATTGCCATGGAAAACAAACTTTATTTTGTATTTCATTTAGTTTCTCGGCTGTTTCATCAGGTTGGATGGAAGGTTCATTTAGTAAAAAATTTCTCTTGTTTTGGTTAATTTTCAAGAGCCCAGAATTTGTGAGTGTTTTCCAGATCTTTTTCATATCCCCTTATATGTCATTACATCTTTTTACATTGTACTGTTTCTTAGATTACATTTCCTTATTAGTTTCATGAGTAATGATATACTGTACATGTACAGGAGGGCCTTACTTATATGGCAGGTTAGGTTCCAGGCTACTGCCATAAAGCAAAAATCGCCATTGTCCCACCAGCTGGCAGTCTTCACCAGAGGGCATAACATAATGAAAAACATGGAAACTGAAACGAGGTGCTATATATGCAGGGCCCTCCATATATAAAATACATAATAACTTCAAAATGCTTGAAACCCTGAAAAGTTTCCATACAGAATCCAGACAAGGTACTCATTGAAGGCATAAACAAACTAAGAGAAAGTGGCACACAGATGCCCAGCTGCATTAATAGTGAATCAGGTTCCCCACAGATGAATGCTTGTGTATAATTAAATTCTGCCATATTTGTGAATCGCTGAGAAGCGAAGTACTAAAAACTGGGGCCCGCTTGTGTAAGTTTTTGATTGCTCTTTGGGTATTAAACTTGGTGGATCTGAGGATGCTGTTTGTTAGCCACTGACTAGTTAGTCTCTCTTGTGACCTGCTTGGTTTTTAAAGGAAAATGCCTATTGTAGCGGGTTGGAATTTTCTGTAGGTAATCATTGACACTAGTAAATGTCCTGATTGTCAGTAAACTCTGTGTGGCTTTCAGAATCATTGGCTGCTGCATTAAAGTCTCATTGTAGCATTGGAATGAGATCTACTAGTTTTGAGTGGCAGTTTATATTTGTTGGTTGTGAGGAATGACCTCTTATAATTTTAATACTTGTGATGAATGTAATAATAATAATAATAATAATAATAATAATAATAATAATAATAATAATAATAATAGTAATCACAGCTGTTTATGTATACGTCCTGTTTGGATATGCGAAAATTTTTGCTTGGTATACAACCTTTGTTTGGAATGTGATTCACTTGCTAGAACTTGTATGTGTCAAAATGAGTCACGACACCGCATGCTACCCATGTTTACCTCTCTCTCTTGAGACAAAGCCAGGATATTGTTTCTAAGCAGGTCCATAGGTCTGAATGTGAGTGATGGTGATGTGGAGGAGTTAGTGGAGGGGCACAGGGAAGAGCTGACCACTGAGGAGCTGCAGGAACTTGAGAAGGAGGAGCACAAGACTAAGATGGATGCATTTTCTTCAGGCTCAGAAGAGGAGATAGAGGAAGCCCCTACTTCATTAATCAAGGAAATCTTTGCCAAATGGATGATCATCAAAAACTTTGCAGAGAAGTACCACCCATCAAAGCCCAAACAAGCCATAATACCATGGTCTGGAATGACCAGACTGTCACATTTCTGAAACATCCTGAGGAGAAAGCAGAAAGTCAAACTTAGTGAGCTTCAACCAGGTCAAAATAGGGAAGAGAGAGAGAGAGAAAAAAGAGAAGGGAGACCTCTTTCCAAACAATAACATTTCCCCCTTCCTTCTCAGCACTATCCTAGAAGGCACTTGACTCTTTTCAGCAAAGTAAAGTGAGGTTAAATTTGTATTTATTTCATCTAATTCTTTTGTATATATGTATGTATTTTAGTATTAAGCAGTGTTTAAATTACATATTTTAGTATTAAGCAGTGTTTAAATTATTTTATACAACCCCATCAATGTATAATATGCCAATAATAGGATTTTTTTTTATGGAAACTGATTAATCATTTTCCCTATATGTATTTCTTATGGGAAAATTCGTTTGGCATACGTCCTGTTTGGTATAAGTCCAAGGTCCTGGAATGGATTAACCCTTTCAGGGTGTGCACCAGTGTCCAAGAATTTTAAAAAAATAATTTTGTTATTTTTTCTTATGAAATGGTAGAGAATCTTTTTCTAAAGATGATAAAACAAAAAGTACAAAATTTGATGGAAAATTGACGAAATTATGCTCTCGCAAATTTTGATGTGTCAGCGATATTTACGCATTTTCCTGACTTTGACTCCCATTTTAGGCCGATTACATTATTCCAGTCGACCAAATTGTTAGCTATTTCACTAGTATTACTTCTATCCTATCAATTGAACACAAGAAATCACCAAGTCAACTTTTTCAACTACAAAATAAAGTGATTGGAAATTGGTAATTTGGCCAGTTTAATGCAAAGTTCAGAATATTCCAATTTCAAAATAGGGTCCAGAATAAACAATGCAGGCATTCCTGGCACTAACATTTTCTCTGTTCATTAGTTACGTTTTCAAGCTTTACGCATTAATTCCATTTTAGATTTTTTATTCATATAATGAATTTTTATTCAAACCAAAAAATAGAAGATTTACTCTTATGCAATATTGTAATAATTGTATAAATAATATCACCACATTTGTGAGCGTATATTAGACCCACCAGCTGGCGTGTATTAGACGTGTGAGGTCATTTTTTTACTCTTGAACATCGGCAAAAATTTAACATTTCTGCTACTTTGAGCTCAGTTTCAAGCCTTCTCCAGTACTAAAACCAATCAAAATCATATCTATTTCTGTAGTATATGTTCCATTCTATCAAATGAGACCTAGAAATCGCAAATATAACTATAAAAGACATTCGAGAAAACACTGCAAAGTTGCTGTTTTAATCGAAAATTATGGCCTCAGTTTTTTTCTCTCATTATGCACTGTGTGCTGCAGGCTTTGATTTATGTGATGCACAGATACCACATAGATGTATTCTCTCATATCTAGGCCCAAATTTACCACTCACAGCTTATCAGAGTGAGCTGAGCTCATGGCGTAGATCTACGGTTTGGACCCTCAATGCAAAGCTGTAGATCTACGGCACGGACCCTGAAAGGGTTAAGGACGTATACTGAGGTACCACTGTATTTTGTTATGTAAATATAATGAAATCAAATTTATTGTATGCTCTTGTTTCAGAGCTCTCAAGTATCTTACCTGCTTATGATGTGAAGCTTGGGCATGGTGGAACTTTGGACTCTACAGCAACAGGAGTTATAAGTATGGGGAGAGTAGTCACTTAGAGAGGTTTTATTCATGTAGTTTTTATAGTCACTACAGTGTCATATAGAATCCATGAATTTTGTAGCATGATAGATTACTGATAACTCGCTGTGTCCATGAGGTTTTTAATGAGTCAAATTCCTTTTTTTTTTATTTGAGTTTTATGATTTTATTGTCACTGTAGATTATTACAATCATCCCTTACTTAATGACTGAGATAGGGATCATAAGACTGGTTCTTTAAACAAAATTGTGCCAAGTAAATCTTATATTCCCACAAGAGCCTATGTTATAAATCAAGATGTAGATCGGGACGGTAATTTCCTGTACGTAATACAAGTTTTTTACATTATATAAATCTAATTTCCCCATAAGAACCCATATTATTGCTCTTTTAGTAAAGCTCTAAACAGGTTGAAACATTGTCATAAGTAAATCTTACTCTGCACCCATATATTTTCTTCATTAAGGTCAACACTTTATTATTGTTGACACTTTATTAATGCCGACACTTCCTCTGTCATTCCACATTTGTGGAATGATAAAGAAAGTTACTGATACGAAGTTATACCAGACTGGTGAGCCAAGAAGAATACTCTTCAATAGTTAATTTTTTTTTTTAAACACGTTGGCTGTTTCCCAATGAGGCAGGTGACCCAAAAAGAAAGAAAAACCCAAAAAGAGAGAAAAAACTTTCATTATCATTCAACACTTTCACCATCACTCAGATATAATCACTGTCTTTGCAGAGGGGCTCATATACAACAGTTTAGATGTCACTCCAAACAGCCAATATCCCAAACCCCTCCTTTAAAGTGCAGGCATTGTACTTCCTACCACCAGGACTCGAGTCCGGCTAACCAGTTTCCCTGAATCCCTTCACAAAATATTACCCTGCTCACACTCCAATAGCTCGTCAGGCTCCAAAAAACATTCGTCTCCATTCATTCATATCTAAAATCCTCACACACGCTTGCTGGAAGTCCAAGCCCCTCACCCACATAACCTCCTTTACCCCCTCCCTCCAACTTTTCCTAGGGCGACCTCTACCCCGCCTTCCACTACAGATTTACATACTAAGTCATTCTGTTTCATTCTATCATCTCTAAATGACCAAACCTCCTCAATAACCCCTCTTCAGCCCTCTGACTAATACTTTTATTAACTTCACACCTCTTCCTAATTTTCACACTACAAATTCTCTGCATAATATTTACACCACACATTGCCCTTAGACAGGACTTCTCCACTGCCTCCACCCTTCCCCCTCATTGCATCATTAACAACCCATGCTTTACACCCATATAAGAATGTTGGTACCACTATAATCTCATACATTCCTTTCTTTGCCTCCCTGGATAAAGTTTTTTGCTTCCACAGATACCTCGAGCAACACTTAGCTTTTTTCTTTCATCAGTTCACTGGTTAACCTCATCCTTCATAAACCCAGCTGCTGACAAGTCAGCTCTCAAATATCTGAACACATTCACTTCTTCCATACTTCCTCCCTCCAATGTGATATCCAGTTTTTCTTTATCTAAATCGTTTGATACCATTATCACCTTACTCTTATCTGTGTTCACTTTCACCTTTCTTCCTTTACACACCCTCCCAAACTTGTTCACTAACATTTGCAATTTAGAATCTCCCAAAAGCACAGTATCATCAGTAAAAAGTAACTCTGTCAATTCCCATTTTGTATTTGATTCCCCATAATTTAATCCCACCTCTCTCCCCAACACCCTAACATTTACTTCTTTTACAACCCCGTCTATAAATATGTTAAACACCCATGGTGACATTACACATCCCTGTCTAAGATCCTACTTTTACCAGGAAATAATCTCCCTCTCTCCTACACACCCAAACCTGAGCCTCACTATCCTCATAAAAACTCTTTACAGCATTTAGTAACTTACTACCTATTCTATACACTTGCAACATCTGCCACATTGCTTCCCTATCCACCCTATGATATGCCTTGTCTAAATCCATAAAAGCAATGAAAACTTCCCTACCTTTATCTAAATACTGTTCACATATATGCTTCAATGTAAACACTTGATATACACATCCCCTACCCATTTTAGAGCCTTCTTGTTCATCTGCAATCCTGCTAATTCTTTCAATAATAACCCTACCATACACTTTACCTGGTATGCTCAGTAAACTTATTCCCCTATAATTTTGCCCCTCCCCCTTCCCTTTATATAAAGGAACTATACATGCTTTCTGCCAACCTCTAGGTACCTTCACCTCTTTTATACATTTATTGAACAAAAATACCAACCACTCCAACACTATATCATCCTTTGCTTTTATCATTTCTTTCGTGATCCTGTCAGTTCAGCTGCTTTACCTCCTGTCATTCTGTGTAATGCCTCACACACCTTCTCCACACTCACATTCAGTTGTTCTTCACTCCTAAAAGATGTTTAACTTCCCTGGCCAGTGCATGAAATTACTGCCTCTCTTCATCAACATTTAAAAGTTCCTCAAAATATTCCTGCCATCTTCTCAATACCTCCAACTCCCCATCTACTACTCCCCTACTCTGTTTTTAACTGACAAATCCATTCATTCCATAGGCTTTCTTTACCTGTTTATCTCACTCCAATTTTTTTCTTATTCTCAGCAAAATTTGTTTACAGGAAATTTACAGGTGCTAGATTTATAGGTAGACAAATAACATTAAGGGAAAGAACAGTGGATACTTACATCTGGGATTGGTTCTGTCTCATTATAGAGAAAATAAAGTAGGATTAAAGATTTTGATTTAGGCAAGCCTACTGTTGCATTAATCAAGTTAAAATTTTAATATTTTTTCCTTGACAGCGGTTGGTGTTGGGACAGGCTGCCAACAACTACAATGTCTTCTACATGGTGAGAAGAGTTACCTTGCAAAGTGTCAGCTGGGAGTTGCAACAGATACTTACAATGAAAATGGCAAAATCACTATGATGAAGCAGTTTGGTTAGTTAACTTATATTTATGTGACTGTACTTACAGTACTCCTTTTCCAGCTATAATCATCCTGAAATCATTAGTTTTTGAGTGCCTTTAGAACACCTCTTTCATTATTTAGATTTTCTGAATTTATTTCAGTGGTATTGTTTTCCTTTTAATTCTGAATTAACATCCATTTTCTGATCATTTAACTCTGTGTTTAGCCCTTAAATTGTCCAAACGTAGATCTAGCATTTACGTGCGTAGCGCTCCGACCTTTATTTTCTCTATTTGAAAGCATGTAAAAAATGTAGATCTACGTTCGGAGCACTACACGAGTGAACGTAGATCTACATTTGGAAAGTTAAGTCTTATACAGTATTCAGATTCAGGTTTATATTATAGATTAACTAAGTTTGATTAACACTTTCAGTGTCCATCACGTAGAACTACATCATTGAGTCTAGGGGGTCCCTCACATCATTTTACACCATAAGCTCATTTCACTCAGATAAGCTGTGAGTGGTAAATTTTGGCCTATGAGAGAACTGGTCTGTGCAGTGAGCAGTGAGTGTGCATAGTATATAAAAATCCTGTCCCATATAGTGCATGTTGAGGAAAAATAAAACTGACTATGTGGATGGTTTAAAAATACGTATTGACTGAGGTGTTTTCTCAGAGGTTTTTATGGTTTTATTGGCTTTTTCTTGTTGATAGATTGGAAGATATACTACTGAAATGGAGATGATTTTGATGGGTTTCCGGACCAGAAGTAGCCTGAAATTATCCTTGAAGTAACGGAAACATTTGATTTATGCCGATATTCCTGAAGATGGGTAAGGCCCCCACCTACACCCCCAATCCTTCTTATGGGTTTATAATAGGTCTGATTAAATTCTTGGGATACCATAAACCATGACAAATGATTCCTGGTTATATTTTATTAAGTAATAGAGGAATGCTTTTATTATTGTGTGATTAACAATTCAAAATAGAAGGCAAATATAATATAGGAGAGGCCTGGGGACATGACTAATGAACAGAGAAAATATTGTTTTAGTACCAGGAATGTCTACAATGTTTATTTTGGACTACGTATTTTTATATTGATATTTTTTTAATTTTGTGTAAAATTGGCCAAATAACTGAATTTTGTGCACTTCACAGGATAGTTGAAATATTTGAGTGGGTGGTGTTTTGTGATCAGTCGATAGAACAAAAGGCATACTAGTAAAATAGCTAAGAATTTAGTTGAATAGAGCAATGGAATTGGCTTAAAAAAGGAATTAAAATAAGCAACATTACTGATGCATAAATTGTACTGTGACCACTGATTTTGTGCCTGTGTAATTCCTTCAAAAAAAGTTCTCTGCCATTTTAGAAGAATTTTTGCTTTTTAAAAGATGACAGAAAGTATTGTTAATTTAGGGGGTCAGGACAGTGAAAGGGTTAATGATGATTTGCTTTAGTAAATCCCCAGGCACAGACATCATAAGTGAGGTAAGGATAGATTAGAGAGTACAATGTAAATACAGTGGACCCCCGGTTAACGATATTTTTTCACTCCAGAAGTATGTTAAGGTGCCAGTACTGACCGAATTTGTTCCCATAAGGAATATTGTGAAGTAGATTAGTCCATTTCAGACCCCCAAACATACACGTGCAAACGCACTTACATAAATACACTTACATAATTGGTCGCATTCGGAGGTGATCGTTATGCGGGGATCCACTGTAGTGTAGTTTGAGGTGCACTGTAATGTATTAAATTTCAAGTTGCAGTTGAGGTGTAGACCTAAAAATTTACCCTCGGTATGTCTTACAATGGGAGAACCTAAATATAGAGGGGATAAAAGAGAGTGCAAAAATTATAGGGGGATAAGTCTGTTGAGTGTACCTGGTAAGGTGTATGGTAGAGTTATAATTGAAAGAATTAAGAGTAAGACGGAGAATAGGATAGCAGATGAACAAGGAGGCTCTAGGAAAGGTAGGGGGTGTGTGGACCAGGTGTTTACAGTGAAACATATAAGTGAACAGTATTTAGATAAGGCTAAAGAGGTCTTTGTGGCATTTATGGATTTGGAAAAGGCGTATGACAGGTGGATAGGGGGCAATGTGGCAGATGTTGCAAGTGTATTGGTGTAGGAGGTAGGTTACTGAAGCAGTGAAGAGTTTTTACGAGGATAGTGAGGCTCAAGTTAGAGTATGTAGGAAAGAGGGAAATTTTTTCCCAGTAAAGGTAGGCCTTAGACAAGGATGTGTGATGTCACCGTGGTTGTTTAATATATTTATAGATGGGGTTGTAAGAGAAGTAAATGCGAGGGTCTTGGCAAGAGGCGTGGAGTTAAAGATAAAGAATCACACACAAAATGGGAGTTGTCACAGCTGCTCTTTGCTGATGACACTGTGCTCTTGGGAGATTCTGAAGAGAAGTTGCAGAGATTGGTGGATGAATTTGGTAGGGTGTGCAAAAGAAGAAAATTAAAGGTGAATACAGGAAAGAGTAAGGTTATGAGGATAACAAAAAGATTAGGTGATGAAAGATTGAATATCAGATTGGAGGGAGAGAGTATGGAGGAGGTGAACGTATTCAGATATTTGGGAGTGGACGTGTCAGCGGATGGGTCTATGAAAGATGAGGTGAATCATAGAATTGATGAGGGAAAAAGAGTGAGTGGTGCACTTAGGAGTCTGTGGAGACGAAGAACTTTGTCCTTGGAGGCAAAGAGGGGAATGTATGAGAGTATAGTTTTACCAACGCTCTTATATGGGTGTGAAGCGTGGGTGATGAATGTTGCAGCGAGGAGAAGGCTGGAGGCAGTGGAGATGTCATGTCTGAGGGCAATGTGTGGTGTGAATATAATGCAGAGAATTCGTAGTTTTGGAAGTTAGGAGGAGGTGCGGGATTCCCAAAAAACTGTTGTCCAGAGGGCTGAGGAAGGGTTGTTGAGGTGGTTCGGACATGTAGAGAGAATGGAGCGAAACAGAATGACTTCAAGAGTGTATCAGTCTGTAGTGGAAGGAAGGCGGGGTAGGGGTCGGCCTAGGAAGGGTTGGAGGGAGGGGGTAAAGGAGGTTTTGTGTGCGAGGGGCTTGGACTTCCAGCAGGCATGCGTGAGCGTGTTTGATAGGAGTGAATGGAGACAAATGGTTTTTAATACTTGACGTGCTGTTGGAGTGTGAGCAAAGTAACATTTATGAAGGGATTCAGGGAAACCGGCAGGCCGGACTTGAGTCCTGGAGATGGGAAGTACAGTGCCTGCACTCTGAAGGAGGGGTGTTAATGTTGCAGTTTAAAAACTGTAGTGTAAAGACCCTTCTGGCAAGACAGTGATGGAGTGAATGATGGTGAAAGTTTTTCTTTTTCGGGCCACCCTGCCTTGGTGGGAATCGGCCAGTGTGATAATAAAAAAAAAAAAAAAAAAAAAAAATTGACTTATTTATTTTATTATCACACTGACCAATTCCCACCAAGGCAGGGTGGCCCGAAAAAGAAAAACTTTCACCATCACTGTCTTGCCAGAAGGGTGCTTTACACTACAGTTTTTAAACTGTAACATTAACACCCCTCCTTCAGAGTGCAGGCACTGTACTTCCCATCTCCAGGACTCAAGTCCGGCCTGCCGGTTTCCCTGAACCCCTTCATAAATGTTACTTTGCTGAAGGGGTTCAGGGAAACCGGCAGGCCGGACTTGAGTCCGGCCTGTAGGTTGGTAGACAGCAACCACCCAGGGAAGTACTACCGTCCTGCCAGATGACTGTGAAACAGAAACCTGTAACTGTTTTGCATGATGGTAGGATTGCTGGTTTCTTTTTCGGTCTCATAAACACGCTAGATAACAGGGATATCTTGCTACTCCTACTTACACTTTGGTCACACTTCACAGACACGCACATGCATATATATATACATACATCTAGGTTTTTCTCCTTTTCCTAAATAGCTCTTGTTCTTCTTTATTTCTTCTATTGTCCATGGGGAAGTTGAAAAGAATCTTTCCTCCGTAAGCCATTCGTGTCGTATGAGGCGACTAAAATGCCGGGAGCAATGGGCTAGTAACCCCTTCTCCTGTAGACATTTACTAAAAAAGAGAAGAAGTACTTGACTTACGAGTTTAATTCGTTCCGTGACCGAGCTCGTAACTCAATTTGCCTGTCTATCAAGTCACTTTTACTTTTTGGAATTAATTGAAATGCCATTAATCCGCTCCAGCCCCCAAAAAACCACCCCAATTTTTTTGTCATAAGCTCTATCCTTAATCGCTTAACTTGCTACACTCTTCACTACTCCACCCACCACCCTCACTACTTCACCCACAACCCTCACTACTTCACCCACCACCCTCACTACTTTACCCACCACTATTGCTACTCCACCCACTACTATCACTACTCCACTTACCACCCTCACTACTCCACCCACCACCATCACTACTCCACTCACCATTATCACTACTCCACCCACCACCATCTCTACTCGACCCACCACCTTCACTACTCCACCCACCACCTTCACTACTACACCCACCACTATCACTACACCACCCACCACCATCACTACTCCACCCACCACCTTCACTACTCCACCCCACCACCTTCACTACTCCACCCACCACCATCTCTATGACACCCACCACCCTCACTACTCCACCCACCACCATATCAACTCCACCCACCATTATCACTACTCCATCCACCATCATCACTACTCCACCCACCACTATCGCTACTCCACCCACCACCATCACTATTCCATCCACCACCATAACCACTCCACCCACCACCATAACTGCTCCACCCACCACCATCACTACTCCATCCACCATCATCAGTACTCCACCCAATTAAGGAACCTCCGTGAGGCAGGTAAATATCAAGGAGGCCTTCCTTTATGTTTCTGGATGAACTCTTGAGTGTTGAAATGGAGGTTACCTCTTCCCCAGATTTTTACAAGAACCAAACAAGGGAAGAGGTGCCTCACTGCAATCTGGGATTAGTGTGGGAGTACAGTGGACCCCCGCATAACG